AAATCAGCGATATTTGTCTTAAACAGGGTCAGGGTATGAGAGGCCGTGCCGCACCTCCCCACTCAGGAATATATCGAGTACCCTCCTCCCCCCCTGGGGTGATGGGGTACATATATAAGGAGGTAAAATCAAATGGGCCGGGGGACGCCCGTAAAGGAAGACATCAATAAATCTCCAGAGGAAACCATCTCTAATATATGGTATAAGCTTATTTCTCTCAGTTCCCTTATTTGCCTTTACCTCTGCCTCTATATCAACAAATACTGATTGATCTTTTAGCCCATGAAAAACTACCATTACTATTAAAAAAGTATACTGTTATTGAATTACAAAATGCATGCGAGTTGAAAATAGTAACATCAATTCATCAGATTTGCGTCAGAGTTTAAGATGAGTGAGTGAACTCTGATATCGTTTCTTCTGTAGACAATGCCTTCTTTGCATCCCTGACGGCCAAAAGCCTAAACATCACTCAGCGTAAAGTACTGAATTAACTAAACAGCAATGGAGTATGTACTCACCTTTTGCGTGACTAATGGACCTTTCTTCGTCTTCCCAGCTTGCGAATCGTCCGGTAAAAGGAGGAAAACCAACGCACAAATGACAAATGTAACTACTGCGGCAATTTTCATGATTCTGAGGGCACGAAAACTCATTCAATCCTCCTAGCTATGCAACCTTGGGACGATGGAGAAAGTTGCAGTGATGCTTTGCGCGAGTAAGAACCGGAAGTGTGGAGGAAAAGCAGATATTAGACCGTAATTCAAATGACTTTCACTGAAGTTATCATGTCAATTTTTTATTATATAAAACATTTAAGGAAACAGACTAGCAAATGAGTAAACAAATATTTCATTAAGTATCGGTAGGCCGTTTAAATTACCGAGGACTGCAAAAAATCACTGCCCCGTTTACCCATGAATAGAACAAATACCAGTTCTCCTCGACCTTCCATTGTACAAAGCCTGGACAGTTGTCGAGATACTATTGGTTGTAAACAACCTGGAATACTATTGGTCCACGCTCGATTATTTCTCCTCATTTAAATCTCTGAAGTTCAATCTTCTGGTGCCGTATTCACGAAAAGCTAACGAAATGGAAATGGCTCGATTCGTATTATTTTTTGTGGCTATGGCGTGTGCGTGCTTCGGCGCTAAAGCCAATAAAGACGAGGTTCTTGTTACTAAGAAGGTGTACTTTGACATCGAGATTGGAGGCAATAAAGAAGGAAGAATCGTGATTGGGTTATTTGGAAAAGTGGTTCCCAAGACTGCGGAAAATTTCTATGCACTTGCAACCCACGAGGTAAAGTTAAGTTTAGTACAAAGACTCAAAATATGTTTTTAGTTCATAACGTGTGAGGCTGCGATACTATAACACTCAAAGCACACAGAATTTTACTCATTAGTCGTGACTGTAAAGAACCAGTTTTTATATAGCTTGTATGAATGGAAAAATTGATCTGCCCAGAGTTTACTTGTTATTGAGCCTTTGACGTGAAAATTGCGATTATTCAATTAAAGAACGTTGCCCTCCCTAATTCAGAGATTTTCACTATGGTTCTCCAGCTCTTTCTCTCTGGCAGCATGAGGATGAGAGATCCTGGGAACAATAATGATAATGAGCCAATATTTTGCACTGTAATTATACATTAAGCTCTGTATATACACACTGTTAATTACTCAGCTGACTGTGCCATCATTATGTCTAAATTGTCTGTGTCTTAGTAGAATTAATTAAAGTTAAAAGCATGATAACCCATGTCAACATTTTTCAACAGAAGCTGTTTAAGGGATACTTAGTTTGCAATGCCATGTTGCACAACTTGATAAGATTTAAGTGTATTGTAGTTGTAGTAAATGTAAAACTATTCAATAACAAGTACAATTTTTATTTCCTCTATGCAGAAAGGCTTTGGATACAAGGGTAGCATTTTCCACCGTGTCATTAAAGATTTTATGATTCAAGGTAGTTATTTTTTTTTTTTCAAACTATACCGTTCATTGTCAGTGTGGTTACAATAGGGCATAAGTACTGATTTATACTTGATACTTGATATAGGTGGTGATTTCACAAACAGGGATGGAACTGGAGGTAGGTTGAATAATTTTTTAAAAATTAATATACATTTAAACTTAATTTGTTTGAATAAAAGAAAACCATGAGACAATGTAAAGTATAATTGCATGTATATCTATTATGTGCCCACTCCCCCACTTCATCAGGGAATCCCCCTGATCTCCATGTAGCTTGAGCTAGCTTAATCTTTTGGTTAAAGTAAATTTACAGGTCCTTTTTTTTGAAAGTGGTGTTATAATAACATAATATTTATGGAATACCACCCATAATATCTCTACAATAATGTAAGACAAGTCTTACAACATTGATTGTCTTAAATGTATTTTAACATTTGTGTTAGGTAAAAGCATCTATGGGGATCGTTTCAAAGATGAGAACTTTAAGCTGAGTCATTATGGTCCAGGCTGGCTGAGTATGGCTAATGCGGGTAAAGATACCAATGGCTCGCAGTTCTTTATCACAACAGTAAAAACTCCCTGGCTGGATGGACGGCATGTGGTGTTTGGGAAAGTGTTGGAAGGCATGGTATGAAATGTTTTGATATATAGTGTACTGTCTCCATTTCCAAAGTAGTATGAAAGTAGCCATGATTTTGATACTTCAAACTACTGAGAAAAATTTTAAAGAGACTGGCCACAAATTATGGATCTGAAGAAATGGCATGTTTTGTTGAAAACTCACCATTTCACATCTCAGGGTGTTGATTGCAACAATTTTTCCTCTTGCCATGTCACACAGGGCTCAAGACCACTGAAATCAAATTTCCATTTATGAAAAACACAACAATTAGGCTTAAATTAAGGGGTGTATGATTAACTTAATGGCATTGAATATTTTGAAAGATAGTTTTAAAGTGTCAATGTTGTTAAATGGATGAAAATTTTTTTCACCAAGCTGGTTCAGTTTGTAAAAGAGGCGAGGTAGAGAAAAAAGAGTATTTGAAGAGGACCCAGCTGATTCTTATTTTGACTTTTCCCAATGACCTCCCTCCTTTTCACTTTCAGCACTGCACACTGTTGCACTCCATTAACTAACTGAATACTTGAAATAGACTGTTCATTTTACTTGCAAGCTGAATTTGCTTTTAGCCTGAAATCTGTCTTTGCTTTGAATTGTTACATGCAGTATTATATCTTCTATACCAGGATGTTGTCAGAACCATAGAGAAGACAAAAACAAATTCCCGTGACCAACCAGCAAATGAAGTCAAAGTTGCCGACTGTGGTTCACTTGAAGTAAAACAACCATTTCTAGTTAAAACAGGGGAATAGCTATGCATCATACTTGTAGCTTGGTATTTTTGTGTTGTGCAGATTTTTTGAGTTGTTGTTGCAATCTTTCAGAAGTCATGTAAGTGTGCAGACCATAATGGAAATTAACTCTTAAGGTGTTGCATCCTTAATCATCATGTAAAATTCTCTGCAGAAATGTTCTTATGTATCAGGTTGTTGTAAAATTCCACAATTTTTTTATGCCTCTAATGACTGTGGTGGATTGATTTACATCATGGCTAGCACCTATTGTTACTATTTTCATCAATAGAAGCCCTCAGAGGGATTTCTATTTCTTGGAAACATGGAATAAAATTTGTTCCTGAGCCAACATTGTTTGATTCCATATGAGAATAGTTTGAACAGTTCTGATCTACCTCAAGGTTGAAAGCAATCAGTAACCTGCCTTCCTGATTTCCTCTAATCACCTCAGAATAATACTTTCTGAACACCTGAAGTACTTGACTATTTCCCTCGATGCAGGCTCTCTTTTTTTTTAAAGATTGTGTTCAAAATAAGGAACTTGACGCGGAGAAAGCTATTCAAATGGCTGATCCATTCACAAGTCGCACACTCGTCAAGATTACTTTTTAAAAACTCAAAGAAGTGCAACCTGCAATTGGGGCAATTGATATTAACCCCAGATCCCTTCTGAAAAGCACTAACTTGATAAATGTCTTTTAAATCTATGTACAGTAGCTAAGGCACGTAAAGAATGGTATCATCATGCTCTCAAACCCAATGATCCTTTCCAACTTCACCTGCAAACGCCAAATATAATGAACGAAGAGGGTGGGTACCAAGTGGGGCCCCTGATCCTGTTTCACGCACGAGTATTAGAAAAATTTATGAGTCGCGTACACGAATCATATACGTACTTTAATTAGCATTCATGAGCCACGAATTAAAGGGAAATCTTGAAATTTGCATGAAATACGAAAAAAAAAAATTCACGTGTCACATCACGCTTTACGTATTAAAATCCTTACCACCCTTCGGGCGGGTTAGGCCATTCCCTGCTCTTTAGGAGGGTACAACGGATTTCAAGCCAGGTCTCCATTACAGCGTAAGTTAGAGTTTGATGTGGTTACTCAGTATGGCTTTCAGTTTGACTCTCGTCACATAGCCTGGAGAACAGGCGTGTCCATTTTTTTTTCGCGTTTTTGAACGAACAGCGGGAAGGTACTCCTCTCGCGCGTGACTCGCGCTTCGCGCATGCCTCTATCCGCCTCAAAAGCGCAAAATAAAATGACGCCTTTTTCGCAGGCTATTCTTCACATTACACCCACAATGTCGTCTCGTAGGGGTTCATTTTAACAGGATGAAAGTAGAGAGGGTTGTGCCGCATTTTCCTGACTAGTTTCTTTGTAATACTCTTCTTTCGTGACACAGCTGTTGAATCAGTCCCCAGGGACGTCAATCGGAGAGTGGTTTCTGAAGGAACAAAATAACTAATTTTTAACAAAGCAGGTCCATGAAGATGTCATAATGACCAAATGAAAGTGACTCAGACATATGCACTTAAATATACACTTTGCATTCGGTTTCGAAAAATTTTAACACCGCTCGCAGATTTTGCAAAAAGGGAGAGAAAAAAGATGAGAACAATCTCCATTGACAAATAATTACACAGAAGGTCATTGATCAGCTAGCGCCTACGTGGCAGTGAATTTGAGACCATCAAACGTGCACTTATCGTGTAGCTCAATTCCAATCAACCGCAGCATAGAGAACTAGTTGTCTTTACTCGTCTTTCCACCGAACTGCAGCGATTAGTTGTCAGACGTCCCAGTTCAAGATGATCTCCTTCATTTTAGCCGTTTGTTTCGTAAACACTCTTTCTGCCAGCACGGATTCCGATGCTTTGGTTACAAGCAAAGCATACCTTGACATCAGTATTGGAGACAAAAATGCAGGAAGGATAGTTATAGGGTTATTTGGTAAAACAACCCCTAAGACTGTCAAAAATTTTGAGGCTCTGGCTTCACACGAGGTAGGTAAAAACTATTTTGGCTCGGAAAGCATGAGATATTGTATTTTTTCGGAGAGAGCGTATAGCCAAACAATTTCGTCTCGGAGGTGATTGTCATAGCGAAGTGCGAGTCAGAATATTTTGCTGCCAGTACCCCTATCTTTCCTTCTTGTATAAAATATACAAAATTGTTTATGTCGCATGAACTCTGAATTGAACTCGCAAAATATTAGAAGTAAAATGCGGCGCTCTATCTCCTTGTCAGGGCAAATTTTTCGGTTTCAAACTCGACGCACCTTAAATGCTAGACAAAGGCCTTTGTGGAAGACATTTGATTGGGAGCACCATAGTCGAGGTCAAGCGCGTTCTTTTTTCTCCATTTGCCCAACCGCCGAATCTTGTGCTGTTAAACTTTTGCACTACCCATTAAAAAGAAAAAGGTCGCTCGATCGCCTCTTGTAATAGTAAAGTGCAGCTTAAGACAAGTACCTTTGTTTGTGTACGGATGACGGGGTGTCACCGTTAGTTTTTATGTTTGACCGCGAAGAGTCCCAGTTGCTGTCGCACGTGCGAAAAGTGAGTGAGTACATGAATGAAAAATTAAAAGATGAATCAATCATTACAAGAGTAAATAGGAAAATGAATGAATACCTTTTGATGATTAGTTTTTACCCTTTTTTTTACTTGATAGTTTGGCTATGGCTACAAAGGAGCTACTTTTCATCGTGTGATAAGGGATTTTATGATACAAGGTAAGCCGAAAGGCTTGTAGTTTGCTCAGTCTGTACATATCAATTCTTGATAACTCTTTGTACGGTAAAGTCATCTCGCAGGATGGCAGGCATTCTTTAATTTGTCACGCAACGCTCTCCTACTTTTGGAGGAAGGTGGGTAACAAATCAGAAGGAATCTCTCATCAAACTCGACCATTTCTTTTCTTTTTTTT